TTTTTTGGTTATTTGGACCAATTTGGTCGACATTTCCGAAATATAGGAAATGTCGACCGAAATAATGTAATTTTTATATTACCATCCATTTTCATGTCGTTGAGCCTCAACATCGACATATGTCGGGTGACATTAGCGATATTTTGCGACATTTGAAACTATGGTCTATTTTTCCTCTTTGCTACTCTATTCTGTTGCAGTGTATATGCACAACTATTCTGATGAATTACACCATGCTCTAAAAAGTATGTGGCCAAATCATTTTCAAAGTATTCTTTGGCATTATTTGATTTGAAAACCTTAGTTCTCACTCCAAATTGTATGAGAACCATCTGGTGGAACCGTTGTACCAAAATAGGTACTTCATCATGGGATCTCATCAAATATGTTCAAGAATACCGCGTGTAATCATCCACAAACAAGAGATAACGGTAGCCACCCATGGAAGGAATATGGTATGGCCCCATACTTCAGTGTGAATAACATCAAAAGAAAAAGTACTTTTATTACTTGATTTAAAAGAATGTTTACAATGCTTTCCTAAATGACAACTTTTACACTCCAAACTAGATAATTGGATAAACTCAAACAACTTTGGAAACAAAACCTTTAATGACCTGAAAGAAATATGACCTAACCGACTATGCTAGAGCATAATCTGACTCACCGACTCTGATCCACTATTACTGTTTCTACTAACATGGTGGCTCTGATGTCTTGGTATTTCGTCCAAAAGGTAGACCCCATTCACCTCATGACCACTCTCAATCGTCCTCTTTGACTCCAGATCCTGCAAAACACAATTACTAGGGAGGAAGGTCACTGAACAGTTTAAATTTTTTGTCAAAGAACTAATAGAAAGGAGGTTAATATTAAGTCTAGGGACATGTAAGACAAAAGATAAAGTAATATTATTGGTCACTCTAACTTTCCCTTTCCCAGCAATGGGGACATGTGAACCATTTGCTGTAGAGACTCTGCCTTTACCAGAGCACAATTGGTAAGAACTGAAAAGGGTTGGTATGTTAGTTATGTGCTCAGATGCTCTTGAGTCTATAATCTAGGGAGGTCCCTCCTTACCTGAGGTGGATGCATAATTTGTAATTGCATATGAGCTACCTGTATGAGCAATAAGAGGTGGTGTGATTGGCTCTTGCACTCTGTTGTCCATCTGAAGAACTAGAACCGGCTGAATCCTTCTTACTCATAAGCTGTCCAAACTTCTCCAATTTGGTTCTGACTGCTGTACTGCAATGGTCTCCCAATCAGCTTGGGTAAGGGGTCCCAAAGAGTCTCCTGTAATTGGCACATTTGCATTTCCTTTCTTGTTCTTGACCTGAGCTAGTGTGAGGTGTGGGTAGAGCTTCCAGCAAGCGTCTCTGGTATGCTTAGCCTTCTTACAATAATCACACACCAAGTCCTTCTTGTTCTCCCTCTTAGTCTCACTGCTCCCCTGACTTCATTTGGATTGGGTCTGGTTGTACTAACCATAGCAGACTGATCAATCCTAGGTTGTTTCAACATGACATTCCTCCTGCTCTCCTCTCTAGAAACAAAGTCATAGACTTGAGAAAGTGTCACACTCTCTCTAGAAAGGATATGTTGCCTAGCAATGTCAAATTTAGGGTTTAACTCGGCCAAGAACTCAAAAACCCTATTATTCTTTACCAACTTCTGATAGGTTGCTGCATCATTCACACTTTCCCAAACCATAGTTTCTAAGTGATCTATCTCCTACCAAAGGGTTTTTAGCATGGAGAAATACATGGCAAGTGGTTTATCTCCTTGTTTTATACTAATCACCTGATTCCTTAACTGATAGGCTTTGGCTACATTCTGCTTTTGGGAATAGGTTTCAGTAATTCCATCCCAAATCTCATTTTCTGTATTAGCCCATAGAAAATTTTTGCCAATGTGGGGTAACATAAAATTACATAGCCAGGACATCACCAATGGCCATCTTGGCTGATTTTGCCTATTCTAAATAATTTGTACCATCCAATTTGACCACGACAATAATTCTAGACCCAAACATATCACTTGTACCTCCAACACCTGGACTCATGTTATCGGTGGACTTCTGTTCAGTACTCCAGCCCTCCATTTCAGCTTCAAACAATTTAAAAACAGCAAAACACTAGGTAAAAAGTCTCTAAGATCAGATCGATCTCACTCATAGTGGCGGCTAACCCTTTCGGAAGGAGAACCCTATTTGGAGAGAAAACCCTCTTCTCCCACCGTTTCCCACTGGAGAGAAGAGTAGTTCGATCACTCTAGAAAGCTTAAAAATATCCAGAAACCCAACCGCCCACTATAAAAACCCTAGAGAAGTCCAACAAGGTCCAAGCACCCAAGATCAGATCAAGAAGGAAGAGTCCAACTTACCTAGGATTCTTTCCCACACTCCAGTTCTTCCTGATTTTGATGCCAAAACCTAGATCATCTTCTTGATGACTGAAATACACAAAAAAACCCAAGAACTGGGTAGTTTGAAGTAGATCAATCAGCCCTTTATCTCCTCATGCAATCGGCTGATCTAGGGTTGCATGGGGGAACTCCAAGAAACCCTAACCTTGCTCTGGTACCAAGTAGAAATCTTGCTGAATTAAAAAATCTGTGAAAGAAAAGATGTTTTCTTGAAGAGGAAGAGGTTTGAGAGAGAAAAGAGATTTCTTAATCTGGCTGCCCCCTTCACTAGTATCTATATTAAAATATAAAGTGGAGTACAATGACAAATATACCCTTATAGGGCGGCAAGCATCTAAAACTGCATAAAACACTTAAAAGGCAATCAACAAAGGGCCCAACAAGAGTGCTGTGGTCCCTACTTCCTATCTAAACAATAAGCATATAAAAGATTACTGCTAAATCTTCACAAAACTGATTAAATTCTCAGCAAAAAGAAAGAAAAAAAGAAAGAGGAAAGAAAGAATAGAATTATAAAGAGGTTATTTTTTTCTTTTCTCTCTCTCTCTCTAATTAAATAAAACAGAAACTCCATCCTTGTTTTTTTCTATTTTACTTTCCATCTTTAATATTTATCATACAAAGTTAATAACCTTCTTTAGCTGCTAATTGATATGAAATTGCTCTGTTAAATACTTATTATAGTAGTATTATTTTTGAAAACAATGAAATTAATATATGTAAAAGATTTTTATCTTTTAGATGTGATGATTTGCTACATTTTTAGAGGAAATTTAATGTTCTTGCTAAAGAGAATTGCTATTTTTCAATTAATATACATGCTGAATGGTATATAAAACTAGGGAATTATCCAAAAGTTAGTTTTTTATATTATAGAATTTTTATCGCCTATGTGAAGCCTAGGCTCCTCAGTGTTGCCCAGAATCGCCTAGATGCCTTGAAAACTATGTGCAACAAGGAATGGGGAAACACAAGAAATTTGTTCATTTTAGTAAGGTGGCTCAGATTTGATTTCCTTTGGAGATTCTTCTTTTCAGTGTTTCAAATTCAAGTATTCAGGCCACTTATTCACTAAAAGACAAAGTGATAAGCTTTTCAGTTCAGCCACTTGAGCTGTTATCAAATGCCCCCTAAATCAAATAGGGATTTTCTGAATCCTAGTTCTAAGTCAACTAGGAATTTTTTTATTCTCTCACAGTCCAAGTCAGAAGTTACCAGGGTTTGTCATATTCCTAGTGTCTTAGTAGTATTTCTTGGTTTTAGAGTAGGAAAATAAGGGGAAAGGGATGCCACAATGCACATGTACCACCTGTGTATTTCTTTTATTTTTAATTCTGTGGCTGATTTTCTAGCCAAATCGGGGGAGGATAAGGCTCTTTTGTATAGTCCAATACTTTGTCCAGGTGAATCTGTTTCTTGGGATTTTTGGGCTTCTGCTTTAATGTACATCCCCCCTCTCTTTTTGTTTCTAATGAAAGTTTCCTTTTAAAAAAATCACTATTGAAAATAAAAAAAACAAAGGGGGGCGGTAATCTTCCCCTGCAAGTTCTGCATTTAATTGTTTTTCTATGGTGTTTGATATACTGTATTAGTTATCAGCATATCTTCTTATTTGACATGGTTGTGAATTACCCGTGTAGATTCTTGAAGGTCTTCTATCTGAGTATGAAGCATCATCTCATGGTCCAGGAAAGTGGCAGAAACTTGCAGTCTTCTTACAGCAGAGGTTTGTGTCATTGTCTTCTGTATCATTTGTGCTTTAATGATTACTTTCAGCTGATGCTGTCAAACTTCCCAGCTTGGAAGGGTCAATAGTTGATCTTGCCAAGAAGCGTGAAGATCAAATTGGGTCAGAGAAGAGTAACCTCATGCTGAAATGCCGCTCAACTGAAGACAAGTTGGAGTTACTCAAGAAGCAACTGGAAGCAAGTGAAAAATATAAAACTGAATATCTGAAACGTTATGATGATGCTATCAGTGACAAAAAAAAGCTTTCTGATGAATATATGAACCGTATTACTTCCTTACAAAGCAAATGCAGTTCCTTGGAAGAGAGGTGCTCAAGCTTATCAAAAAGTGCAGATTCTGCCAGGCAGGATTCTTTGGAATGGAAAAGAAAGTATGAGCAGATCTTCTCAAAGCAGACAGCTGAGGAACACCAAGCAAATTCAGAAATAGCAGTTCTCAAATCCAGAACCAGTGCGGCTGAAGCGAGACTGGCTGCTGCTCGTGAACAAGCTCAGTCTGCTCAAGAGGAGGCAGAGGAGTGGAAACGGAAGTATGGTATTGCTGTTAGAGAAGCCAAGGCTGCTCTGGAGAAGGCAGCAGCAGTGCAGGAACGGACAAACAAACAGACACAATTACGAGAAGATGCTCTGAGGGAAGAGTTCTCAGCAACTCTGACTGAAAAGGTTAAGTGCAACCCCCTTCTTCCAATCCCCAGCCATAAAAGGGAAGACCTCAGATAATGATGATGGTTTTCATTTTCCATATATAAATGACAGGAAGAGGAAATCAAGGAGAAGGAAGCAAAACTTGAATCCACTGAGCAGCATGTGACTACTTTGAGTTTGGGACTGAAGGTAAAGTCTTCAAGACTAAATCATAATATTGGAAGATCCCTAGATGAAGTATTTATGTTTGTTATCTCTTTTATTCAGCTTTCTGTAATGCTATCACTTGTGCAAAACATAAATCAAATTGTTGGAAATGTGCATTAGTGTATTAATTATGACCATAAAGCATGCACCTTCAGATGAACATAATCATATAATTAGGCTACAAATCACAGATCAAGGACCAAGAATGATGACAGTACTTGTCTTGAACATAGACAAACCACCTTTTAAGTATGTGTTTGCCTGCATTGCTTGCTTATCTGTTTCTCCATGTATACATGCATGCTTGATGATGATAGCAATAATGAAGTTCACCTAATATAATCCATTTGCAGGCTGCTGAGTCAAAATTGAAGAGCTATGATTCAGAAACATCAGCTTTGAAACTTGAAATCAAAGAATTGGCTGCGAAGTTGGATGCTGTCAAAGCCACATCTCAGTCGTTTGAAAGAGAAGCCAAGATATTGGAGCAAGAGAAGGTCCATCTGGAGCAAAAGTATCTCTCTGAATTCAAAAGGCTTGAGGAGGTTCAGGAAAGGTGTAAAATTGCCGAAAAGGAAGCTAAGAGAGCTACCGAATTGGCTGATAAAGCACGGGCAGAAGCAGTCACAGCTCAAAAAGAAAAGAGTGAAGTCCAGCGGGTGGCAATGGAGAGATTAGCCCAAATTGAAAGGGCAGAAAGGAATATTGAGACCTTGGAGAGACAGAAAGCATACCTGGTGGAGGAAGTAGAGAGGTTTCGTGCTTCTGAAATGGATGCCTTGGCCAAAGTTGCACTACTAGAGGCCAGGGTTGAGGAGAGGGAGAAAGAGATTGAGTCACTTTTGAAATCAAACAATGAACAGAGGGCAAACACAGTCCAGGTTCTTGAGGGCCTTCTTGCTACTGAACGGGCAGCCAGGACAGAGGCAAGCAATAGGGCAGAATCCCTATCTATGCAATTGCAATCAACTCAGGGCAAACTGGATCAACTTCAGCAGGAATTGACTTCAGTTCGTCTGAATGAAACAGCATTAGATAGTAAACTAAAAACTGCATCACATGGTAAACGTTTGAGGCACGATGACTATGATGGGGGTGTGGAATCTGTTCAAGACATGGACGTTGATGACAAAATAACCAGAGGAAGGAAGAGGTCCAAGAGCACAAGTAGTCCTCAGAAGTATACCCAATTAGAAGATGGGGGATCGGTTTTTAAGGCAGGTGATGATAACAATCACAATCAGCATACCGACTCAGAGGACTATACCAAGTTTACTGTACTGAAACTGAAGCAAGAACTCACAAAACATGGCTTTGGTGCAGAGTTGCTTCAGTTAAGGAATCCCAACAAGAAGGACATTCTCTCTTTGTATGAGAAACATGTCCTCCAGAAATGATACCTCTTCCTCTCTTTAGCATATGACTTTGTATAGGGAAGTCTGTAATTTATTACTAAAAGTACTCATAGATCAGGTCGCCCATTAGAGTGGAATCCTGATGGTCTCATCCCCTTGAAATGCCCCGCCTTAATTAGGTACACGGCTTTGAGAAACATCCTAGCACTGTAATTTTTGTAGTTAGTTATTCATACTTCAGACAGCAAAATTTTGGGTATGGGGCTACAAGACTTACCTTTACCCCATCTATTTTGGATTTATTCTACTTGTCTGGTTGCCTAGCTGAGAATGCTACTTCACAGACTTTGTGCTTGTTCAGTTTCTTATCACAGTTCCACTGAAGCTTTTTATATGAAAGCGGGGAGGAGTGTTACACTGATATTGGAGTGCCACTGGACTGGACGAGTCTGTTTTCTGCATTCAATTTTTTTTTTTTTTTTTTTTTTTTTTAGCTTTTGATTGCATTTCTGTGTTATTTGTAGCTTTGTACAAGTATGGACTCCATTAATGGATATATTGCCTTGTCTCCTTGTATGGGATTGTCATTAAATGTAAGCTTTTGCTTTTATATTTGGTTCTCATCGGTACGTTTGAGGCATGGTTTTAAGTGACGGTGAATTTGTTTAATTTTGGATTTGGATATGCGAAAAGTTTTTGGGTGTTAAGATTTTGAAATTTCACTAGTTTAACGATATTTCTTAACAATTTATTTTCTTACAGATCCGTAACAATTTGAAGGGACTAGATCTGGGGGCAGATCGAAAAGGATATTCTAATGTTTATAATTTAACAATGGATATGGCACTTAACATAACAGAAACATGATTTATGTAGCTGATCATATATAGTTACATGAACCATCAATCTTCCTGTGTATGTGCTGTAGAATGCGAAGCTTTGGCCTAATTGAAACCATGAAGCTGGTGTTATTGAGGTTGGACTTTGTTATCTTTGAGGGAGATGCACTTGTGGTTATTAACTCTCTGTGGAGATGACTACATCACCTATAGCACTTTGACTGACAACAGAGATACCCTCTCCAAAAACCAAAATCTACTGCTGCTCAGTTACTTTTGCTGGCCGTATTTGTCATATCTAAGACCAGCTACTTGGTCACTTCCACATGACTTTCTCTCAAATGCTTTGTTATTCGATGTAAACTCCGAGCAGATTTAATTAAGTCCAGAAATAAAGGGCGAATTTGGATTTTGTATTCGTTGTAGACAAAGTCTTCGAAATGGCTTAAATATTCGAAATTTAAAACCTTGATTAGAGCCTTGGAGGCACCAGGCCGGCAGGCCCTGGGTTCCCCGTTGAAGGAGCTGCGGAAGCTGACACTGAACGTATTCCTGGTTCCTCTTGTGAATGACTTTAGCTAACCTAGCTTACCACCAATGAAAAATAACCTCTTTGTTTTGAGTAGAGATGCATTTGTTGATAAATCAAATGGGTACTGGGTGCAGTTGAGTCAACATGGCGTTCAAGTTGAAAAACTAGATGTCAGGTTGTTTGGTTAGGAGCAAGCCTTTCTCTAGCGTCATTTATCAAGACACCTGCAGCTAGATATCTGCATCCAGTCGTTTTTCTTTGACCTATATTCTGTAACACCCAGATCCTTAAAAAAAAAAAAAATGTTCCCCATCTTTTTTTCTCTAGAGGCTTCTAGAATCTTCTAATGGAGTTTATATCCAAAACTAGAAGCAGGTATGTCCTCAGGCATGCATCACATTTGAGTACCTTGCTCTCAATGCAGAAAAGTGCCAAAGTGCCAAACCAAACCACTGAGGCAGAGAATTTCTCAAGAAAGAATAAAGTACCTATACACCAAAAGTTTGATAGAATGCTTATGCTCAGCCTTTTATGTGGTCCTACTGCTACCTACTCGTGTACCACCCGTCCTACAGAGATGCCAATGTAAAATACTGTTTGTTCCATGGTTGCTTTTCTTTTTCTTTTTTGTAAGCTGTGATGAGTGCACTCAACTGCCAAGTCTGCATTCATTCTCCACTTTCCAGAGCCATTTCATGAATCATGGTTTCCAAGCATCCCTGCATTGTTATCAGTAGAGTTTCTTTCTCTGCCAAATAGAAGAAAACATACAATGTCCAGAGGCAAGTATATATATTTCAAGAAATTCCACCAATACAACATTGGGAGAGAGAGAGAAGAAAAATAAGAAAAATTATGAAATAAAAGTTCTTACATTTATTAAATTTATTCTGAAAAGAACAAAGTATGGAGTATGGACCATTAACACAAAGGGTCGAAGTAAGGACCTGTGAGACTAGAAATAGAATCATCTTTGTACAATTTTACATCAACATTACCCTCTCTCATACTAAAGTGCCATGACCCATGTAAAGCTACAGTGGTCATTGGATAAAGCCTGTATCGATCTATATAACTAAGTACAAAAAACAATATTGGTCTCACAAGGATTTCTGTTCCAGACCTAAAAGAATAACAACTTCAGTGTTTAATGAAGGAATGGTTTCCTCTTATTCCCCCATCACCCCTTCGTTTTTTTTTCCCTATATCAACTTGACATATCACTGATGACAATATAATTTATTTCACTAACTAGTACACAGAACAGCAATTAGTCCTTGCTGCCATTGTTGCCCAAAATACTAACTATTTAAACGTTTCTCTCTATTACTGCTTCACTTTCTTTTTTATTTCTTTTCTCTGTCTGAAATTTGCATGGTTAGCGACGTGAGGCGACTCTTATCTCTCTCAAGGAAGAAATGAAGACCCATCAGGATGAACAACGAAATCAGGTATTAACTGAGGTGAGCTTGCTCTATTATGCCCACTTTGCTCATATGCAATGAGCGAGGAGGAGTTATAGTATTCGACCAGGGCAGCGTGTGCGTGGCCCGTGTCCTTGAGACCAGAACTATCGTGCCCAGCTAGAGCTTTAGATTTAGCAGCTGGAACTGGAATCGCGTCCTTGACGATTGAGCCACATTGTCTGGGCTGTGTCTGATAGAACACCTTGGAAACCACCAGCTCTCCATCCTTTTCTTCCTCGTTATTACCAAGGTGATACTGGTGCATAACCCAGTTCGTCTTCTCAGGCTTTCTTTGCTTACCGTAATTGGTGTAAAGCACTAGTATCTTCTTGTACCCTTTTACCTTCCCACCTGCAAACACCGGTCTGGTCTTGCCCGTCTTGTGCCATCGCGTCTCGCCCCCGTCGGCGTCTGTGTGCACCTTCCTGCGCTTTCTGGTTCCAGTCGTGTAGGCCTTTGAAGGCCGATGGAAGAAGTGACGAATTAAGCCATCCTTGCTTAAGCCTGGATGATCACCATCGCCATCAACATCAGCATACATAAAATGGATCAAATCTTCTGTTGTTTATGCAATTCAGCGATTGAAACAATCAAAGTGAGACATATTAGAACAGTTACAGAAGATGGGTGCATGCAACAGGATATGCCATACCATATATGGACATGTCCATGCAGAGAGCAGAAGACAGGTAAAAGTGTGATTTTGTTCTGAAAAGTACAAGGGTTGAATAGGAGAGAGAGTGTGATGGGGTTGTTTGTATGTGGAAGTTGGATTCACTCACCCGGTAGCTTTTCTGGGTGGGTGTAACAGATTCCGTTCTCCCCTTCGAGGGTAGGTATGAATTCGTCTATCAGAGGGTGGAGCTTATGCAAATCAGGTCGCACCTTCCCTTCCAAATGCTCGAGAAGCTCTTGGTCGGTTGGATCGAATTTCACTCCGGCGGGTAGACCCGGCAAGTCTTGAATTCCCGCCTGATCCAACCAGATTTGTTGCTCAGAATTCAGATCGATATATACTTAAGAAACGAGGATTAATAAATAAATAAACGAAGATTTATATATATATATATATATATATATATATATATATATTTTGAAAGCATTCAACCAGAAAAGAAATAAATAAATAAAAGAGAACCAACCTGGTCCAGAGATTCGATTCGATGACCACAAGAAGGGCAGGTTATGAAACGACGATCTTGGGGTGGTCTGTCATCGACAACGGCGGTCGTCGACAGGGAGCTTCTCTGAATGGCTCTGTCGTTGGTGTCATCGTCGCAGTCATTGCACCATGTCATCTCCTCTCCTGTGTTCTTCTTATGCCCATCCCACAATGGAGAACCCTGGCCTCCTATTTCTTCCACTTCTCCAAAATAAGCAAGCAAACTCTAAGAAGAAGAGACAACAGACATAGATATAACAAAAAAAAAAGTAGGGAAGGAACTAAATTCTCCTCCACTTTTTCGCCTTTCTATCTGCAGCAACGATTTGTATCTTCCTTTCCTACCAACCTACTATACCAGAGAGAGAGAGAGAGAGAGAGAGAGAGAGAGAGGAGAGAGATGGGTATGTATGTAATTGTGAGTATATGAGAGCGAATTAAGAAAATAAATCAAGAGAGAAGGAAAGAAGGGGACTGAATTTTCAAGAAATAATATAAAAAGGTTACTTGGAAGTCAAGTTTTCTTAAAAACAAGGAACAAGACTTGTGGAAGAATAAATGCAGTTTAGGGTGGTGCTTCCTTTTTATTTAACAGTAGCCGGCCTGGTTTTATCTCGTAAAAAACACTGGATAAAATTCTCAGACACAAACAAAAACAAAGCCAAACGTTAAAAAAACAAAAAAGGATGGAGTGGAGATGGGGCAATTCTGACGATTCATCTGATTAAAATACCAAACCAACTACTTTTACACCTTACATCAATGAAAGACGTATCACCACACACCCACAGTCCACAGACCCTTTCTCCTCTCCTCCTCCTCCTCCTTCTGAGAGAGAAAGAAAGAGACTGTGTCTGTGTGTTTGTGTGTGTCTGTGAGAGGGAGAGAGAAAAAGGAGAGAAAGAGAGTCTTGGGTTCAGAATTCAGATACAATGTCACCCTAGAGTGTCTTTAAAGCTATATATATATATGTATACACATAATACCAAATAATTCAAGGACGCAGATCAAACACATGACCCACCAAAGAATGAATTAAAGGAATTCCATTTCTTTACGTAGACTTCTCCATGAGATGGATCGAATGGCAGCCCTCTGATTCGTACGTTGAATTGATTTGGGTAATGGGTATTGGTGTGTTAACACAACAACAGCGTCGGCAACACAGAACCCATACCATACGGACGCATATACGTAGAGGTAGCTTCCTCTGTTTGGTTGGTGGTGTTGCGTAGCTCCACCTCCAACCATTACAATTTACACGTAAATTCGACTTAATTGGTTTATTAATGCAAATACATAGAATAAGGGTTGGCTTATGTGGAAAGCCACGCCACCCAAACAAGTCTTTTGAAGTGGCCAAGGCAAGCAGGAGGAATCGAAGATAATAATATAGCTAAGGCCTAAGGGCTTACTTTTACGTGTGGATTATGTTTTGTTTTGGCTCTGGCTCTGGCTCTGGGTCTGCCCGTCTGCGACTCTGGGGGAGGGTTTTTGATTTCTTTGATTAATTAGTATGTGTTTCCCCTTTCTGGATTTAGGAATGGAATGTATGGTTTCACGCTTCTTGATTTGATTGATGACGACCCCCAACCGTTGGATTCATGTTTGGTACCATTTCATTTGAGAAACTGTTCGGTGTGTATGACTTTCTTTATACGATCAACTGATGTCATATATCTCACTCAACGTACAGCGTTGAGCTTGAGCAGTTCACCCAAAATTAAATTAAATTTAAAAAAAAAAACAGAAAATAAAAACGGTTTTTTGGGATGAGGGTTCGTAAAGAGCGAAATTGCCGATTTGGTTCTGGAATCCATCACGTGACCTAAGAGTATTTTATTACAAAAATTACAATAAAATAGCTAGGATAATGTGGGCATGACATGATGGCATTCCTCCATTTCTGGGTTTTTTTTTTTTTTTTTAATTCTAAATGTTTTTTATATAAAGAACACCTGGCCCACCTGGCCCACAATCACAACTGCCTTTTGTGGGTTTTGAGTTGTCGTCCTTCGGTGTTGCCGTGTAAGTAGCATAGAATACTTAACTCCAACCTGGTTGGATGACATGCGTCCAACCACCGCTTGATTTTCATATTTAAACCCTGAAACCTAAAGTCTAAATCCTAACCCTAAATTATAAAATCTGAACTATAAATCCTTATATAACCTTAAAAACTCTCCCCTATAATCTAAAACTTAAATCTTTACACCCTAAAGCCCAAATCCTTAAACCCTTAAATTCTAACTTAAACTTTAAACTCTAAAATCTAAACTCCAAACCTTTAAGCTTTAAAAAAGCCTAGAAGTCTCTAAACCCCTAAATCCTAACCTTAAACCTTAAATTTAATATATAAAATGGTTTTGGAAGGACCTGGAGGTGGGGAACCAAGTATTTTGCAGCATCAGCATGGATAGCATGGAGGACCATAGCCCTACAACGATTGGGCCAGGTGGGCTGGACCATTAATTAACCCATTTTTTTTTTCTAATGGGCTTCCAGTGTAATCTAAAGATTTAAAGCAAGATGAGTCCGCTCTCAAATTCTCAATGTATGAATACATGCAGTGGCGTGGGGGAGAAATGGCAATGGCAGGGAATGAACAAATTAATCATCGCTCACTTGACTTGAGAACTGAAATTGAATGCTATAAGCGCAAAGCTGTAGTGAGTGAAAACTGAAAAGGGCTTAATTATCTTCTTCCTTCAGCCATGCACAGGACCAAAATCATCAAATGGTTGTTTCTCAATTACGTGGATTACTACTTTCTTTTTTGTCTGTCTGTGTGTTTTTGAGTGTAGTTCATTGGTTGAATAAACATGGTGACACGAATAAGTCCCCATCTTTCATGCATGTGAAGTGAAATTTCTAGGAAAGACCCACGACGAAGATCCAACAGGGGTCCCTTGGCTACTTAAGAGGATGCAAATTAGACGGAGGCATCGGCATCAGCATCAGCATCAGCATCAGCAACTATACATCCTTACTGCCTGGGGAGGGGGGGTTGTATCTTGTATGTTGTAACATCAACATTATGATCCAGTCAAATGCCCAAACAACAATAATGAAAAGGATTTCTTCTCTAATTTAGTTTCTGTGCACGTACGTCGTCTGAGCTCTGTTTGGTAGTTTGTTTCACCATCAGCATCCACAAAGCCATCTATTCTAATGGGTTGTTGAACTGATCGAGTGGTCACACTGGAAGCAATTCAAATGGCATACTCATGGACCTTGATGGATCGGGATAGTACATTGGTCCTTTCTTTTCAAGCAAGTGGATAAACTGTTTGGCCTTATTAACTGATGATAGCGCTCCAAGAATTTCAGCAGTGGAAACTGTCCAATCTGGGGCACTTGTTTCTCCGTCTCATCCCATATATATATATCCATTCTTCTTCTTCTTTCTTATTACCTACTTAGTTATATAGTTTTAGAGTTTTAGCGGGTGTTCTTTAATTCTTCAATTAATGTGAATTATTTTTATTATTGTTGTGAGCTCCAAAAACAAATTGTTTCTTAAAACAAAAATATGGAAAACATGTTCTTGGCTATAAATGTGTTTTATTTTTATGTAAAACATATTTTTATTTTAAATCATGCATCCAATATATCCCATTATATTTTGTACGTAAATCGTACAATATTTTACTCCAACATTAGTTTTTGTTTTAAAAATCATTATTTTGATGGTTTCAAAAACGTGAATTACTTTTTTGAAACAAAACCAAACTTGTTTTTTTGCTTTACATTGTACAACACCTCCTTAGCTTTCTTGCTGCATAAGTCTCAAAATGAAAGACAAGAGAAATAACCCTAATACATAAAGAAGAAGAAAAGAACCAACCAGAAACCTCAGAGTTGCCCTACCCTAGAATTCCCCTAGACAAACATAGGAGAGATCCCACAATTTGTCTTGCAAAATGTTACTCCCAAAATGCTCTTGATGAGCTAGCTGCCTTCTCTCCGATGGAGTCGCCAGACCGTCAATGATCAGCTTTGAATCTCCTTCGATCCACATTTTTCTCCCTCCATGAAATCTGTTGTTAAGTTGATTGTAGATCTTCCTAGGAAATTGGGGTGCAAATGGATTTTTGAATCCGATCGGATTCGGATCACCCCCTTCTGATCCGGAAGCATCAGATCCAATATATATGTTATGTATTTATTTAGTTATATATAATATATATGTATATATGCTATTTATTTATTTATAAATATTTTTTTTTTATTTTTTATTTTTGTAAATATTTGTTGGCGTTTGAGGAATAAGCCCAAATAAGTGTTTACTCTGAGAATAAGCGCTTAGCTTATTTGAGAAATCCAAAATTTGAGTTTATTTTAAAATAATGGTTATTAAAAAATCACTTTTCTAGCCTGTATTAACCCACCACATCATTTTGGAAGTATTTATACTATCCCTATTTGAAATAAGTGTTTTTTAACTAAATGCTCACAAACACTTATTTTTCAAATAAGCACTCAAGGTTTTAAAAGGCCAAAGGCATAGATGAGGGGTAATGGCCCAAAAAGGTGACGCATAAGCCTCAAAGTGTTGCAAGGCGCAAGACTCAAAGCTTAAGAATAAAATTAATTAAAATTTATAAACTTATAAAATACCACATAATATATTAAGTTAGAATATTGATAAAAGGTATAATATCCATAAAATAAAGTTTAAATGGTTAAGCATTAAATAAAATAATAACAAATCAACTAATTCAAATGACCAATTTAGAAGAAAGGAAACATATGAAGAATCGTCCATATAATTGAATATTAGATTTATGGTCATTCAATAGTTTAGAAGAAAGAAAATTGCTTAGTTAATTTGGTCTATGCAAAAAAAAAAAATCAATAAAAAGAAAATAAATTCCTTAGGAAAAGAAATGAGAAAAATAACAAACATAGGAGAATTAGAATAATAAGAAAAATCACTTGATATATCTAAGAAAAACTAAGAACTTGAATGACTTGTTTTGCATTGAACTCATTTTCTCCAATTGATTTTTCATTTCTACTTTTTATTTATTTGGCTCATAATTATTGAAGTATTTATTACATATATTTTTGAACTAAAAAAACATCGAATATATTGTTTTGCATTAAATCACTAAATAATAACTGGTACTGGAGGCTTAGGCCTTTTTACACCTCACATCGAAGTTGTGTTGTGGGGTTTAAGGCTTGAAACATAATCTATGCGCCTCACCTCAAGATGTAGGGCCTCAAACGTCAAGGGATAAGCCTTTCAAAATAATGAACACTCCCAAACTTAGCCTAAATAAAGTTAAAAGACCCGTATATGTATATCGAATAAGGTGGGTCTCCTATGAATTGATCATCAGATTTCCATGAAGAAAAGCTACAAAAAATCATAACCGAAGTACGTAATAAGGATTAAGGACTACTTTCAATGCCAAAGCAAAACTAATTATATATATAATGATGCAGATGG